CCCCGGGGCCCTGACTCTCCGACCCGCGCCAGAGCCCGATCCTCAGCCGGGCAGCTCCCCTCCTGGCCCTGCAGCGCGTTTGAAGGGTTTGCAAGACTCCTCCCCAGCTCACCAGCTCGTCCTCAGTGTTTCGCGGGCTCCCCCGTGCATTCCTGTAACGTCCGACATGAAGGCATCTCGTGTTTCTCCCCCATTTCTGGTCCCCCGCTGGGTGGGTGCAGCGGATGTGGGTGCCGTGTGGGCCACGGAGGAGGGGTGAGTGGACCTCTGGACCTGTCCAGTGTGGCTGCCCCCTGATACCCGGAGCTCGGATGGGGGGGTGGCCCTGCTCAAAAAGGGGGTACCACAGGGCACACTGCCTGACCTCCAGGAGATGCGCTAACCCATGTGGGAGCAGCACCCACTCCTCCCTGTGGGGGGCTGGGGGGCCAGGCATTGACCTTGCTCTGTGTTGGTGGTGGTGGTTTATTTGCTTTGCTACAGATTCTGGGGTGAGACTGGGAAACTTCATTTCACACTGCCCCACGTCCTCACCTCAGTCTGGGCGTGGAGAAGTCAGACCCGTGGCTTCATCAGGACAAGGGTCAGGGGGACGGGCTGACAGTGGTGGTGCCCACGTGCCCACAGCTTCTTAATGCAGACGAGGCGTCCGTTCAGCTCACGCGGTGGCTCCGGGAGCCCCCTGTCCATGCCCCAGCTCTGCAAAAGCAAAACATAACGCAAGCCATGCATGGGCCACCCAGCGGCCGTAACTGCCCAGGAGGGGCCAGGCCCCAGCGAGGCCGACGGCGATGAAGGAAGAACTAAAGGACACCCACCCCCGGGCGATCCCGTTTTGTGCGTGCGCAGTCAGACGTGCTCTATGTGCACATCACTCACTACGTGGGCTCTAAAAGTAGACTTGAGGGGCTGTTACTGTGTTGGGCTCAGGCCCCTCTCCCACCCTGGGGCCTGCGGGTCTGAGACGTGAATATGGGACATTCAGCCTCAGCTCCCCACCCGCCCCCTGAACAGCCTGTGGACTGCGAAGCGCTCAGGATCTGAAAGAACAGATGCAAGAGACAAACCGGCAGAAAGGAGTTTGGGGAGTGGCTCCTAAGACTCGCATTTTCCATCCCCTGGGAAAGAGCAGCCCTTTCGGGGGCTCCGTGTCTGTCCACTAATTACTTCTCCAAGCAGCGTAATTATAGCTTCTCGCAAAAATGCATGAAACACAGCTTCAGACATTTTCACTTAAGTGAATTGGTCCCAATTTCTCAGACCTGCTTTGTCCCCCTTCCTGAAAAACCCGTGAAAGCCAAATTCATTTTTCTCATCCTGGTCACTTCTTCCAGGGAAAGAAAGAAAGCAGGAGAGAAAGAAGAAGAAAGAGAAAGAAAAAGAAAGAAAGAAAGAAAGAAAGAAAGAAGAAAGAA